ACCTTTAACAAGCTTCAGCCACCTCGAAGTTTCGTGGTCCGAGTAGACTTTGAAGTGTCTTCCAAGCAGGTAATGCCTCCAATGGTCTGAGGCCTACCTGAGAGCGTAGAGTTCTCTCTCAGATGTCGAGGCTGCTACTTTTTCAAAGGGAAACCTAGCTGACATGCACTCTACGGGCTATAGAGAGCGTAGAGTTCTCTCTCATATGTCGAGGCTGCTACCTTTTTTTAGGGCAACCTAGCTGGCATGCACTCTACAGGTCTATAGTCGTTGCCGTCGTCTTGCTGTAAACCAGCACCTATACCATACTGACTTGCATTTGTAGTGACGACAAAAGGCAATGAGCGATCGGCTACCCTGAGGACGGGATACTCTACCCAAGGCCTTTTTTAGCTTCTTTAAGGTTGAGGTGCAATCTGGATCCCACTTCCAGATTGCTTCCGTCTTTAGGAGTTTGGGAAGGGGAGCAGCGATGGTAGAGAAGTTCCTCACAAACTTCCTATAGTAGTGTCTTGGCTCACTCGCACTTCTTTGAGTTGATCAAGTTCGCCTCTCTCAACTTCTCCAAGATCTGCCTCAGATGGCCCTCATGTTCTTGGAGGGTCTTGCTGAAAACTAAAATATAATCTAGGTAGACAACGACCAACCTATCTAGCCACGGCCTAAACAAGTCGTTCATGCAGCGCTGGAATGTGGCTGCTGCGTTACTTACTCCAAAGGGCATCACTATAAACTCCTAATGCTCGTATCTGGTCCAAAACGTCATCTTGTACTGATCATCATGATGTACCTCTATCTACTGGTAACCCTGATTTCAAGTTTATTTCGTAAAGTACTTGCAGCCTTGCACCCGATCCAACAAGTCATCTATTTGGGGCAATGGTTCTACATTTTTACTTGTTATGGCGTTCAGACTCCTGTAGTCTATACACATTCTTAACTATACACATTCTTAACTATCCCTCTTTCTTGGGGACAAACAGGACAGGTGTGCCAAAAGGAGATGAGATAGGTCTAGACCATCCTTTTTCGAGGAGCTCGTCTAATTGCTTGCACAGCTCCTCCAACTCCTTGGGAGACATTCTACAGACTACTCCCTATGCTCTATCTCATGCGGTGTTGAATGGGTCTTGGCACTACCCCTAAGGGTGCCTCAGATAAATCTTTGTACTCCCTCAGCAAACTGGCAATAATGGGATGGATCTCTTTCTCCTCGTTTGACACTCATAAACTAGCCTTACATAGGCTACAAACACCTGTTCTTCAAGTTGCTCCTCCTTAACAAGTCTTGCAAATGGAGGAGCGCTGAGGCGGCAATGCGACAAGGAGTTGTCAAATCTTGACGCATGAAATAGGCGAGCTTTGTTAATCCCACCTAACGGACTAGGGAGCCTACACTCATGCTCTCTAAGGTGCAATGTGGCCCCGGCTGCCTCTCCCCAATCTGTTCCGAAAACTATATCAACAGGGAGGTTCTCTTCTATGAGGAGAGTCAGGGAGTGAAGGACTTTATCTACCTTCCCTCCTTGTTCTAGGCGAAAATACGCCTGGACTCCCTCTACGTACTCCTTGATCTGCATAGTGCGGTTGTCTGCGAGGATACTGACTACAGGTTCCTTCAACTTTTGGACCTTGAGGCCTAGCCTCAACTTCTTCAGCGCTTTGCAACTGATGTAGCTTCTAGTAGCCCCACTGTCTATAAGGGCCCCTACTCCAGCTCTAAAAATCTCTATGTCTGCTAACAAGAGCTTCCCTTTTCCATCCTTCTTCATCTTGGCCCAGGCTTGCCTCCTCTCCTTCAATTCCTCAGCCAAGCCTGTGAGGGAAGCGCCTAGAGAGGCTCTTACAAAAGCCGTCTTTGGGCAGCTAGCTAGGCGCGCGCTGGCCAGCAACCTCTGTCGTACAATCACGAGGAGTGGGAGTTTCTACCTTGCGCGCACGCTAATCTCTGCGTGCTCTTGGGGTAGGGGCAATTGCTACCTCTACCAACAGTTGCCTTTTGCTGCCCCAGATGCAGCACAACTCCTATACTTCGGGCAGAATTTGATGTTGTCTCAGGGTCTCCACAAAACGCGTACTGGCACTTATCTACGAGGTCCTGCCAAACATTCTTCCCTATTCCCAAGGCCTCCCAGGGTCACCCTTTGGGCCTTCCTGGGTGCCTTCCTCCTCTTCTGGGAGGTGACCGACTGGAACTCGGGCAGTTATATGGGAGACATTGACCCCTTCCTCCTGCTTGGCGGTCCTTGTTGCCATCAACCCCCTGGCCGCCCTGTCCTCAGCCACCTGAGGCCTGGCCATTCCTGAGGACAGGGCGGCCAAGAGGTTGACGGCAACAAGGACCGCCAAGCAGGAGGAAGGGGTCAAGGTCCCCCATATAACCACCCGAGTTTCAGTCGGTCACCTCCCAGAAGAGGAGGAAGGCACCCAGGAAGGCCCGAAGGGCGACCCTGGCGGACTCCCTCCGGTCGCGACAGCAAGTCGCCCTTTGGGCCTTCCTAGTGCCATCCTCCTCTTCTGGGAGGTGGCCGACTAGAACTTGGGCGGTTATACAGGGGACCTTGACCCCTTCCTCCCGCTTGGCGGTCCTTGTTTCCGCCAACCCCCTGGCCGCCCTGTCCTCAGACAGCTGAGGCCTGGCCATTCCTGCCTCGTCCCCGTCCTCCTCCCTGCGGCCTCCCTCAGGCCGAGACAATAGCATAGGAACTCCGCTTCTTGAGTGTGAGCAAAAAAACAAAAAAACAAACGGAGAGAAAAAAAAAAAAAAAAAAAACTTGAAAAAACTTCAAAAAAGTTGAAAAAACTGATATGAGACGGATTTAAAAAGGACCATGTCAGCAACCCTAAACGGCCATAAAGAGCCTATACTGCAGCGAACGTGACTCTAGACACGAGAACAGACAAAATCCGACTCCGGCCTGCCAGTAGGGGTCCACAGGGCTCTGTAGAGCCTCGAAATCAGTCTAAAGTTAGGATTTCCTTGTTCAACTTAAAATCTCTTTTCAATCAAAATCTTCTGTTTTCGAGTTATAGAAAAATTTGAACAAATTGTGGAAAGTAATAACAAGCATAGCAAGCCAAATAGCAGATTCTGTAGCAGCTACAGTTAATACGACTGAACTTCAATAAAGCAAATAATTGACCCGTCATGGCATCTAGATAAACAGAATATATTAAAAAGTTCAAATTGACAGCAAGTATCCAGTCCTATAGTCCGTCAAGGTTCACGGATGCCCTGAAACCATCTGGAAACTCCTCGAAACGGTACACCGGGGGTGTGGGAGTCAAGTAGGTGGGTCACGTAGGCCCTGTGTCTAGACACACAGGGCCTCCGAAGGACCCCAGCAAATCAAGAGCCAGATGTCGAAGTGTCAAGATTTCTTCAGAAACAATTTTGGCCACAGATCACACACATACAAATTTCCAGGTAAAGTATCTGGATGCATCCAGGCCTACTAGGTGAACGCTGGCCTCAAACTATCAGCATCCCTCCTCCTTTTTATTCACAATTGGTGAACATCACCTCAGACTGTCAGCATCCCTGTCGCCCTGCTCAAGGCATTTGATCTCAGCTGGCTGTCCTTTCGAGACCAACCAGGCAAAATGAAGCAATATATATATTAGTGCAGCCAGTCCACCAGCATTCTTCCTTGTGCTGGAGTTGCATGCCTTCTACTAAAGCTGTGCGCCATGCCGCCTTACTGCCACCAGTAAGGAGGAAGCGAGAGTCTGGCTGGACGATCACACACACACACACACACACACACACACACACACACACACACAGAGAGAGAGAGGACTCACATAGAGCGAAGCGGCGAGGGGAGAAGAAGCTTACCTGGTGAGTGGCTGCAATAGCTACATGAAGAAGAAGACTCCATGAAACTAGCAGCCATAGTCACATGAAGAAGAGACTTCATGAAGCTCCACAACCATTGTGAGATGTCGTGCTATTGGCGAAGACTGGGGGCTACAAGAAATCGGCATTCGTCATCCAAGACAGCTGGCACTCTATATTACAGTGGCCTTGCAAGAGAAAACCAGTGTGTTCTAGCAGCGGCCAGGCAGCACTCCACACCCTGTGGGAGTGGGAAGGAGAGGTTATTATCGCCAGGTTGACTAATCTGAAGTGTTGAGATACACTGGAGGAGGAGGAGAGCTTGACTCTGGAGAAAGAGAAGCGGAGTGTAAGACTGAGGACATTGAAACATTGTTGTAATGTTTATCAAGAGTTGCTCATTCTGTTCCACTTCATTCTCTTCAGGTGTTGGCACACAGTCATTTGCTGCTTTTTCGATCAAGACTTGATTTTGTTTTCGACATCATTGAAGCTTCTGTTGAATAGGAGTCGACACAGTAGGCCGAAAGAAACTAGTTGCTGGCAATACCTGGTCTATTTAAATTTCCTGGGGGGAAAAGCAGGGAATATCGGTATGAATTCTGGTAAGTTACTCTAATAGAGAGCATGGAGATGAGTCTTTCCTGTTTCCTCGGTATTTTTCTCCTTTTGCAAATGCAGCAACACCCCTCCCTCCTGCACCCAGCCACCCCCACTTCCACTCGTAACCCCTTGCCTGCATTGTGTTCAAACGGCCAAGATGGTAGGCAAGCCCAAGTCTTGACTGCATTAGAATACAAAAGCCGTTGGGGTATAGTACTGTGTCTCCAGCATGACATATGACTTGCGCACGTTTTCCATGGTTGAGCGCCACTTGCCCACCCATCTGCTCAGCAAGTGCACGACAACAACGAATGAACAAGCCCTGTCCCACAATCGCAGTTTATTAATCCTTATAGCTACTGGCATCCCCTTTCTTACTCTTTCTGGTCTGCCAACACATTTCTTGAGCAAGGCCCTAATCCGACCTAGACATGCAAACCAGGGGGCAGAAACGTGCGTGCATCCCTCGGGAACATTCAGTAAGCTGCATGGTAGTTCTGACCATGTGTTGCCAAGCCGCGGCTGAAAAACAAGGCAACTATGAAAGATATATGCTTACATGTGATCGCAGCAGCTAAGCCGCCCCCGATCTGAAACTGCCACCAAACAAATTCTGCACTTGTTGGCATCAAGCGTACCTCCTCCCCTTTCCTGTTTCTCCAAAGAACATCACCCGCATCAAGCCCCCCCCCC